GCGTCTTCGTCGCGGCGGAATTCAAGGGATGAAAGCGGAGCTTCTCTTTCAGTCCCTTCTTCCAAAGCCGCCTTTTGCTCCTTCGCGAAATTTCATGACGGCGCTGTGGGGACAATGGCAACAGTACGATCCCCGGGAATGCGTCACCGAGCTTTGCGGTGACGATATTCAAATGCTGCTCACACAGTGGACGCGAAGACTGCGTACGCATTCGATCTGCGCTCGTGACAATCGATGCCTCGACGTGCATTCGGGTAGTGGCTCGTGCCGTATCCAATCGCTGCAACGACGACAATAGCCGAGCCATAACAATGTCTGGAACTCAGCGCGTGTCCTGTGCTTTGCCAACCCAAGCGCGTGGCTATGATCAACATTGGCGGCATATAATCTGCTCCATATCACGTGGCCGCTTGTTCCGGCTGCGAGTTGAGGGGGTGAACGGTGCTCTTTTTTCTTTAATTTTTTTCTGAAACTTATATTGCGTGGGGTGAGAAACGAAAGCGTGTTTCATAGGTCGATAACGTCAGGGATTCGTTTTAAGCGGTATTTGTGCAAAGTACAAAAATTGTTGCATCGCCCCTTTAAAGACAGTTGCACGATTTACTGTTTCATTCTTTTTTTTTTCACATTATTCGCTTTATAGTCCTCCTTAATTCCCATCGATCACCCTTACATCTCTTTAATTCCTCTTAATTAAATTTAATTCCTCTTAATTCACTTTGATTACTCTTAATTAGCTTTGCCATCCTCCCTAATTTCATTGCCTCTAACTCGCCTGGGCGGTCACATAAACGTTTTGGAACCTTTTGTGCCGTTGACGTGTTTTCGCTCACGGACTTTGAAGGTCGACTGAACGATGAGACGCACAAGGCTTTCGCCTTAATAAAAAAAATGAAGTCTATTCTGACGTTAGACAGCGCATCGAACATAGAGAACTTTAAGGTAAAAGGCTTCTGGTCAGTGCCGTTTTCAGCGTTCGTGTGTATGGTGCGTGCTCTGCATGCTTTCCGAAGCCTCGAACGTACGCCTGCTGGGCTGTGGATATATATATATATATATATACACGATGCACGCGAGTGCAACAGCCCTCTCTGGCGGAGTGCTTTGTCTCGTAGCACGCAAATGCCACGTGACAAAACGAAATACACCAGATAGCGGTGCCCTCTCCGTGAGTGACACTTTTTTGCTCTACACAAGTAAGAAGCGCACTTAAAGGGGTACTCCACCGATTTTTTGAGCTACCTCAACTAACTATATTTTCTGACTCCCCGGCCTTTAGACTCTCCGGTATGCTATTTAGCATCGCGAAATTCATAATAGGTATTGTGGAATCGGCAAATGAAAATGGTGCAAGAACCGATATTCAAATATTCGCGCACTTTTCCGTGCCGTGACGTCAGTGGCAGGCAGGCTTGCCAGTCGAGCAAGTAGTCTAAAAATAGAATATGCCAATCATTTGTTCCGTGCTGGAGCGCGGATACGGGAGCGAGCTTCCAAAGCACTCATTTGACACAAAGAAACTGCTTCAAATCTGTTGGGAACGACTTCTGTAGTCCAAAAAGTTAACCCCTGCCTTCCACTGACGTCACTTTTTCATTGTTGCCAGTAGAGACTTTCAGTTTGAAAAACACGGTGAAGACCAAAACTGTAAATTCAATAACTTCTCGAAAAAACAATATTTTGACCTAATATTTGGGATACTATTTTAGCAATGTTTGTTGGTTAGTTTAGCGAAATTTCAAGCAAATCGGAGACAATGAAAAAAAAACGGTGGAGTACCCCTTTAACGGAGCACCCAACTAACCCAGCTAAACGAACCTCAACATTTGAGAAATATTGCGAAGCACGAGTAGGTGTCAGCGCCCGATACGAAGGTCGAATTAAATATATTCCTTGTCTCAGAAAGAAAGTAAGTTTTGCGAATTTTTACGCGCTGCGCGAAGTAGCGTTTACAGGATTTGGTTGTCGAAGGAAGAAACTATGCTTTTGGCGCTTGAAACGTGTTCGTCTTGATAAGAAATAACGTGAAGAGAACCTAAGATGCACTTTCATATATCTTCATTCCGTTCGTAAAAGGGGAAATTACTAATTAGTAACGTTCACTTGGTCGTTCGAATCATAGAGTTATTATAATGTACGCTAGAGGTTCAAGTGGCGCTAGTGTGCTGACGCAAATTGAAGCAGACAGCAACCAGTCCGAAATTGACTTCCGGTAATGCATTTCTATGGGAAAAGACGAATGCATTTTCTCTCTGCGCTCGATTATAAGAGCGAATATCACGAATATTTTGTGCGTACTAGGCGCATTGGAACATTTCTCAGTCACGCAGATGAAATAATTAGTCAGTTACTGCGTTTTTCTTTCAAATTGGTTGCATTAAAAACGGTGCTAAAACGGCTTCGTACGTGTATTTATGTGCACTGTCGGACACTGTTAGCGCGAACACGACGTCGCCGCTTTTCAGCGCATGAGGGATATACGTGCCAAACGAACGAAGGACATCTGGAAAGCCAAGAGAGACGGCAAGAACTACTCAGTAACACTGGATCAGTAACTACCAGTGTATGCACGATCAAAATAAATTGAAGGCCACGTAATATGTTCCGATTTTAAGTACTAAGTAAGTACCGCTTTATTCTTTCTGCTCTGAGCGAAGATGCTTGTTCTACGTTTAAAATATCACCCGCACCCCCGAAATCTTTGAGAACAAGTGTCTGCATGCATGCTTAAAGGTGCCCGACAGAAAAAACAATACGAAGAGACACTTTTCAGGGCCCACATACTTTATTGTTTACGTTTTTAATGTCTTTATCCGCTCATGCACGAAGGGGTCATTTTCATATAGTGAGAGGACTGGCATATTAGCAATATATAAGCGTCACCGGGATGCTGGCAAGCCTTGAACACACACTATATTCCTTTCGGTTGTTATTTTGCTTTGAATCGTCGCTTGATTTTACGCACCTGCTGCGGAATACATGTTTCGGACTGAAATGTCGCGAAGTTAAACATCGCTCACCGATGAAGAAAAGTGCGCTAACTAAAGCAATTACGCTTTTAGAATGTTAATCAAGGTACACACTATTCGGTACGACCCAAATATCCAAAGCGTTCAATGTTGTTTACCAGCGAAGAGACAAAATGCACGCGCGTTTTCCCATAGGAATGCACAGGAGCACCGCAAATTTAGACTGGTTGCTGTCTGCTTCAATTTAGCAATTAAATGGCGTCCATGTCCCGTGATCGCCGATCTAGCAGTTGCACCCACCCTCACTTGAGCCTCCCTAGGAAGTCGCATAGACACTAGCGCCAGTTGAACCTCTAGCGTACATTATAATAACTCTATGGTTCGAATCGACAATTGAAAGTTTCGAAAGCTCGCACAGACCTATATAAAACGATCCGGCAATGCAGCGCTGCAAATAAAGTTTAAACCTGTAAAAAAAAAAAAAAAAAATCTTTTGGCGCAATGTTGGCGCCATTTCATCGCATTTCGGTAAAATGTATGAAAGTTTAGCAGTTAGACGCAGCAATCACATCACTGCGTGTTTAAAAGTAACACAACTTTAAATTTCTTATACTAAACACATGGGGTCAAGACGCTTACGGATCTCCTTAATTTAGTGCAAGTCGCAAAGCATACATCACTTTTTTTGTCGATCCTATCATTCCGTAAGCCCCCGTTTTCTACTAAAAGAAAACTAGAAAAAATCGTGAAAACTCATCGACGAACGGTTTTATGCGAAGTGCAAGTTTGTCTGCTTCTTGCGTAGGGCTTGTGGTGACGTCAGAACGCCGAGCTCTGATTGGAGGAATGGTGGGTAGACCTCAATGCTAGCTGCCTTGAGGTTTACCCACTATCTTGCCAATTTGGGCCAAGCGGAGCTCGGCATTCTGACGTCACCACAGCCCCTGCAGAGGAAGCGGACGAACTTACGCCTCGCATAGGCTTTTTAATGCACAGAACCAGAAAAGATAGAGCCACATCCCGGCGGGAAATCGCTAATAATGTTTTTTGGTCAGCGCATTCTCTCCTTGCCACAAAAGATGTATCAGTCAGACGGGAGAGAAACCCGGGAACATACTATACTTGGCAAAACAAAGACCAATTATCTGGGTGGCTGCGCCACATGACCGACCTGCATTGCAGCGAAGAACATTCATTAAGCTTCACTGAAATGAAAAAAAAAGGCTTCACAAATACAAAACACAAATATTCTTTTTTTTTTTTTTTTTAGTTTGATAACTCCCTCGATTACACGCAGCCATTGGCAACCAAACTACCTCGTAAATAGAAATAAAAAAAAAATATTAAGCGACATCACCCGACCAGTCAATACCATGGCAATCATCTCGCAAAGATGACAAAATTTGTTGTTTGCATGAAAACGATTAACAGAAGCTGTTCCATGTTTCTTTAGATTGAATGGGCATGTAAACAAGATTTAATATTAAAGCAAGGAATTAAAGGATTACCTTTTTATAATAAAGATGAGACTACATTTTTCTTTCTCAAATTAATATAAGGTGATAATAATTTTAATAGAAAAGTTAAACATGCATTGCACAAAAAGCCCATCAAGCAGTCAGATTGAGAGAGTTTTTCTTTCGAAGTTTAATAGAACACCCTACTTTATATTTCTTTTTAACGAGTTTTAGTTCTAATATTCCCAACATTATACTGCACACTACATATCGCTACATATATGAAGCATCAAAATAAATGTGCAGCTTGCACATAACTATGTATGTTGGAGACTGCAGTCAGACGACGACATGTGGTCAAAGCATAATTTAATATATTCGGTAGCTCCATTGCCAGCAAAAAGCAGATGAAGAACATGTGAGCACTTCCAAAACTCGAGATTGAATAATAAAGAGGGTGCGACAAACAAACTACAATATTTACTATGGCCATAGTCGGAAACATTAAAACAAAAGCCAACACATTGGAGACTTTTTTTTACTTTGAGTAATCACTTATGTTCTTGCTTTCCAGTTGTGACACCCCACATGGCTGCAGATAGCAAGGAAACCAAAGTTAAAACAGCCCTCATGTGTGCCGAAAACATCCTTGCGGTCCTCGAAGACAAGTACAGAAGAAACACATCCCTACTCTGCTAACCAAGGCCCGAAAGAAAATGTCAAAACAGACAAAATTATTAGCCAGTGGCAACACAGTAGCTGGTGAAATAAATATAGGGAATCGTGACAAGTCCATGCAAGCCTGATATCCGAGTTTACACTGACAGGGCATTTACGCTCGTCAAGGTTTTTACTTGCACATGACATATGAGAGCCCAACTACCCAGAGCACAATCTGCGGCTCGAGATTCGTTTTCTTCCCTCCCGAAAACCGCCAATCGAGAACTGGCCGGTTTGAGTCGCGCTCACTCTCTTCTTTGTGGTCACATGTTTGTTTTCTATGGTTTAGACACAACTACCAAAGATAATCAAGGTCGTGGGTTATCGAAAGCACACACTGAATACTAGAAATGGACAAAAAATATTATACCCATTTTCTGTAGCTTCTAAAAAACTGCAAATACGTTGACTGAAAAAAAAAAATGAAAAAAGTTGTACTGCCAAGTGACTTTCGGTATCTTTCTCCTCTATATTTCTTCTTCCCGCCCAGTCCAGTTTCAATTTCCAGCAGTTACGTTTTTTTTTTTTGAATTTATTAAAACTATATGTGACAACATAGCAAAATATTGATTGGGTAGTCTTCTAACACCATATTATATCGCCTATAAAAAAATTGGGGGTGTCAGTGGTTTCTTTTAAATGATAGAGTAAAAGTCTGAAGGAAACCAACTATAAGATATGGGCGGTCTCCAGCTGAATGTGGGATAACACTGCATGCATAAGGTGTGAGAGTTACATCTGCAAGAAAAGGTTGTTTGTTTTTCATCCAGACAATGTGGTTCTCACATTACAATTATCTAATAGTCAGTTTATTTCTTTTTATGAAAACGTTTTAATTTATAAGTATCTCAAATGCTTAAACTAGCGTATTAGAACTGTGCTTCAACTTAGCATTACTATATATTCAAATCTTCATTTCATCAGTCTTTACTATAGAGAGCTTCAGACATATGTGAAATGTATTGCATAATATCAATGTGAATGGTAGAAGTCACCATTTTGCAAGCTACAGTTCCACACCTGAATGTGCTGTCTGTTGAGAACAAAGTATAAATATAGTGCCCGAGGGTTCTTAGGCAGGAGTATAACCAGCATGCCCTCAGCAACATAACAGAAAATACTACACAGCCCTTCACAACAGGCAGGCAGTACTGAATGCTTTGTCTGAAAGGCTAAAATTGTCTAGGCACAGTGAAAAAGAAGACAAGAATGGCCTTTTTTGCAAAATGGTGCTTAAAACAATCCCATCGTGCACGTGCGACACCTAAAGGGAGTGTGCCACTCCGCCTTGGCAACTGGTTGACAGTGCCACATTTGACAGCGTCCGCATTAAGCCGCCTAGTGAAGCGCTACCTGCTCAGACCTGTTCTAACGCGACCGCAGCATCTTGGCCACAACTGCACCTTCTCGTGGCCTTGTTTCTCGACCTCGCTCCCAAGTAAAGGTATGGCACCTTCACATTCGAAAATATATTCATGTCCAGCGTTGCACTGCGTGTACTCCTATGTCATCCAGCCAACAGGAATTGCTCAAAGCTCGGTTTTTGTTGTTTTCCCCGCAGTTGTAAGTGGCCACAACGGTAACAGACTGCCATGTTTTTCATTTACCTGCGCTGGAATATGCCTCTACGAAGCACTTGTGTGTTTGACAATCCGGAAATCACTACGAGACGACATTCACAAGAGCCAGCAATTGATGAAATCCACATGAGAAATATTTTTTGCTTTTCTTATTATCAGATTGCTCTTCGCTCACTGGCAGATTGAGTAGACATACTGGGATTAAGATGATTACGGCTGTTTTTGCCAGTGCACAGAAAAGTTGTGTGTTCTCGATTTCCAAGTCTTGCATAAAAAATACTGCCGTCAGCTGTGGCCCCATAAGTTTTGTATAGCACTGTGCTCGGGTAAGCTTATGTGGATTAGAAACTACTGTCGGCCACTATACAAGTTGTCTATGCAAAATGCTTTAGGAAGGAGCCGCTCCACAGCACCACTGTTTGTCGCACACTTCCAATATAGAGTGCAAGTTTGTCTGTTTCTTCTGCAGCAGTTGTGGTGATGTCAGAATGCCAGCTCTGATTGAATTTGCTTGAAGGATAGTGGGTTGACCTCAAAGCAAGCTGCCTTATGATCTATCCACTATCCTTCAATCAGAGCTCGGCGTACTGACGTCACCACAACTCCTGTAAAAAAAGCAGACAAACTTGCAGTGGCGTCGGAAGTATTTCTGAGGTGGGGGGGCAACGGAATAGACCCTTTCCGAAATTCAGTGCCATCTGGAGGCTGAAATGGCGGTTTAACTTTTGCCATACGAATGGCGGCAATGAACCCGCAGCCTGCAGTATTTTATCGGGCACCGTCACTTTTGCATGTCAACGGCAGACGAGAATAAACTTTTTGCTATACAGGTTTTTCTTGATCATCTCTTCCAGTATCGATCCCCACAACGATGCAACCAGTCAGAACGAAGTGCCAAGTCAAGGGGTTTCGAAGTCGATTTTGTGCCACTAACAGGTTCACTGGGCTCGAATTAGAGAAATGAACACTTACGCAGCGCTTGCATTCGATTCCGGTTTCGCAACGTGCTAACGTCTATAGGCCTCGAATCCTCAGCTTAGAAGTATCTTCAACATGTTCCTTCATCAGTAATTAGAAAGCCGCCATTCGTATGGCACATATACCATTTTTCAGATGGTGATGATAGTGATCAAAGTGGCCAGACTGAATTTCGGAAAGGGTCTATTGGGGTGGGGTGGGGGGTGGGGGGGGGGGGGGGGGATGAAGCATCTAGAACAATATGGATATATAAAATCGAAACGCTCACAAACGTTTATTTAGAATGATTAAAGTAGAAGTTTGGGCTAGTTGGTATTTCATGATTAAAGATTAAAACAACGCAAGGACACGGACAAGAACAAGAAGGTAGACAAACAGCGCCTTGTTTGTCTACCTTCTTGTTCTTGTCCGTGTCCTTGCGGTGTTTTAATATTTAGAATGAATATATGTCCTTCCTCTTTTGGAATGTGGTGATCTTGTTTTTCTCCCATGTTGACGTCTTCAAACAGCGTGAAATAAGAAAGAGCTCACTGGTGCCCGAAAACGGCTCGTCGTTCAGCCGTCCTCGACACGAACTCTCTGATGATACAGTTCAGATCAAGTTTTGCAGCTCGCTCACTATTTACGTGCAGCAGCATCAACTGAGTCAGTCGCTTTTGTGACATGGTAGCTCTGAGGTAATTCTTGATACGCCGAAGTGCGCTGAAACTTCGTTCAGCTGATGCCGCTGACGCTGGCACTGTCATTATAAGTGCCGCAAGGCGCATCACCTCAGTCATCATCCTCTTGACCTCTGGGACTTGTCTGCCCAGAGCACGGCACAACTCGGGTACGGAGCCGATCTGACCGCTTGAGAGCGAGTGAACCATGTTCAGCTGCCTTGAAAGGCTTTCCAGGTGGAAATCAGTAGCGTGGGATCCTAACTTCCTTTCAAGTTCTTCTGCAGTTTGTGGCTTCTCTTGAATAGCGCACAAAATTATTTGCTCTAGTTGTGCGAGACTTTGCATGCCTGGTTGCTTGAATCGCCTTGCAAGCTCGGCGCGAACACAATCTAACGCTTCGTAGAACTGCTTCCGAAGGCCTGTCTCCGCGTCTAGAAACGCTGGTTGACAGGGCTCGCTGCTGTGTTCGTACCTTCTTGGAGGACCGCATCGCGTGGTCTTGTTTGAAGGGGCCTTTAGCTTATGCTTTTTTGCTGCCCCCTCTGTGCGTTCGTACACTTCTTGGAAACCACTCTCCTTTCTTTGCCTTGTCAAGTGTGCTTCCAGGACCTCCGTCGCCCTCAGCGCTCCTCCCACAGAAGTATCTGGCTTCTGCAGCGATGTTGCAAGTTCTTTGCATGGTCCAAATATTGTGATGGCGCAGTTGAGACCAAACATGGTCTCGAACATTTGCATTTTCTTCAAGAAGCCGTGTATTGCTGCCTTCTTGTCGTCTCGCGGATACCCCTTGTAATTCAAAATGTCTTTCAGGGCTAGTTGCACCCTTTCGTAGTTCTCGACGAAGCGCATCATCGCTTTTACTCAAAGAACCCACCGGGTGGGGCACAGGGGAAGCAGCTTGGATACTTTTCCACTGGCGATGGTACCTTCTTCGCTCTCGTGGCCAGGAGATATCACAACATTCTTATATGCTTTCGTTCGCTTCGCTGACTCCATTATGATTCCCGAAACGTCCTTAACGATGGCAAGCGCGTCGCGAATCAGCTCGCAGCCTCGTCCAACCTCCTGCAGAACAAGATCTAAGGCGTGGTTGCTGCAATGAACGTACACAGCTTTTTGCTGCACTTCGGTCACTTTTTTCTGTACCCCGTTTAACCTTCCTGACATATTTGCTGCACCATCAAAGCACTGTCCACGAAAGTTCTGAAAGTCTAGACCCAACCGCATGATCATGTCTTTGATCACAGCAAAAAGAGTTGCGGCTGTGGTATCACTCGGGTTGTACGAGCCAACAAAAATCTCCTTTACATGCAAAGTGTCTGGATCCACGCACCTGATGCACAGCGAGAACTGCTCAGAGGATGAAACGTCCGTCGTGCCGTCGGCAATGATGCTGAAGAAGGTTGAATGCTTTATTTCCTGTATGATGCCCCGCAGCAGCTCGTGAGACATGATTTCAATGACTTCGTTTTGAACGTCAGCGCTCAGCCACTTGTCCCGCCTTTTCATCCACATCTCCAAGGCCGGGACCTCTTGAGATCTTTCGTCGAGTAGAAGCCGCAGGTTTCCATCTTCATACGAATGTCCGCGCAGAGCCTGACCCGAGCGTGCAAGGTATCTGTTGGAACTGAAGACAACACGGAGTGCCATTTGCGCCTCATTCTGCTCCTTCAGGCTCTGCTCACTGAGAAGCTTGATCACTGGTGCTTTCTGCAGTCTCTGCAACAAGCTATCCACGGACCGGCTGTGGCATTCACTTTTTTCATGAGTTCTAAACTTCTCAGTGGCCTTCTTCCAGTTTCTGAAGCCGGATGAAATGAAAGTCACCTCGGCACCACGAACACTGTTTTCGCATTTCATAGTGCACCATGCCACACATTCATAGCACAGCACACTGTCACTATCGCAGTTAGGTCCATATCACATGAGCGAGTGACGTTTTAGCGAACAGCGACATTTGAGCGAATCGACGTTTTAGCGAATAACGGGGGCGCGCGTTAACCCATCCGCCGCGCTGCGCTTTCGCCGCTTCGCGGCGACAGTCTGCGGCGGCTCATTACAAAAATGTGAACCCATTTGGCCCACCCGAAAACGCCGCTTCGCGGCGTCCGAATATTCGCTAAAGTGTCATTCGGTGAAACGTGGGCGTTCGCTAAAACTAAATCCTGGAACCGAAAGGACCGCTGCTAAATCCTGGAACCGAGGTGTTCCAGGATGCGGCGTAGTCATGTAGGTCTGCGGGTCGTATACTCGACCACTTTCGTCCAAGTCCTCGGCGGTACCCGTACGGCACGACGCCCCGGGGATTACTGCAGCCTCGAACTGCGAAATCATTTGCGCTTCGAGCAGCGTAGGCGCGTATCGACTGCTTTATTCGGCTTCAGAAATGGAGAAGCTCCTGCTTATTTCTGGTTTTAAAATAACCGCAAATAATTGAGCCCTTGGATAACTAATCCCATGATGATGAATATCATCATGCCACCATAATGCAAGAAATTCATGCCCGCGAAATATCTTAAAAATTGCAATCTGAGAAATTTGCGAAATATCGAGCTCGCGCGCCGCCTTTACTAAAAAATCTCTGGGGGGGCGGTCGCCCACCCTGCCCCCCCTGTTCCGACGCCACTGCAAACTTGCACCCCACAAAGACCTTTCGGGAAATGCTATGTCTGACGGGGAGGATGGCACTAGAGTAATCATGTGGTGAGTGGGTGAACTGATTCGTACGAGTAGACCGTAATAAATACGACTATTCCTTAACGGTTACCTAGTAGTGAAGAAAAATCTGCCCAGTATAAAAACTATATTAAACTCTTGGCCAGCAAGGTGCAAAGGTGCTGCACATCACCGTATCAATATTTACCTATATGGATGTTTCATTACAGCCCTTACCAGGGAGCTTCTACAGAAAGTCACACCTGTGAATACAATGCGATGGAACCGTAGGGTTTCCTGTAATGTGCTCATTAACAAGTTAGCCAGTTTGTTGTAATTAGGTCTGGAAGGTAAAGGTTGCTGTAGCAAATTAGCATTGAGAAATGTGCACTACATGCGGTGTCATCTACAATTATGACCAAAAACTGCTGCACAATAGTATGGACAGCTAACCATTCTCCCCACTCACTCTCTTTCTCTAGTACAGAGATGAGCAAAATGGGAGTTGCAAGGCGACGTCTGGGGGTTAAAATGTTGAGTCATTGTTAAGTGTACCATCGGAGGGGGAACGGAGTCACTAAATGCCGTTCAAATATTTTTAAAGGTCGTGGACCTGAAAAGTTTGCACCCCTCTGCTCTAGTGTATGACATTGTAGGTGCGCCAGGAAGGCCAGGGCTGTACAGCACTTTTAGAATGATCAGGAGTATAGCACCGATTTTAAAGAAAAACATTCAATGAAGCAACCCTGCCATTAAGAGTTGGAAACAGCAAAGTTGCCCCAAGAACTCCAGGGCATCTGCAATCACAGGCAAAGAAACATTCTCCAGGCAAAGGCAAGTAAGTCCCTTTGCACTCTTGAAAATGATGACGTAAGCCAGCCCATTAACGAACATGCAACCCACCAGAATTACACCACATGCCACCTTAACTTGGGCTACAACAGAGGCTACGAGTGCGAACGGGTAGTTTTAGTAGGTGACTCAGTTCATGATCAATCAAACATCCGGGGTGAGTTTTAAAGCAAGGAGTTTATGCTTGTCATCTTTGCTGCAGTTCACATTAAGGTGAGGCAGACCATATCTTTGTTAACCTCGTTTAATCCTTATCATTTTGGGGACTGCACGCTGTCCAGTAGTCAATGCTCTCGTGCTAGGTTACAAGGCTCTTAGACCTTCCTGTCTTGAGCACAAACACTGAAAGGGCATTTTATTGCAAAAGCATTAACTGTCTTATGGAGCAAGTTGACGTCATCAGCCGCGCCAAACGACGGATAAAATTCCCGAAACCGCGACCTGAGGCATCCCAGCTTTGAAACCACACAGAAAGCCACACAAAACAGCAGTGATATGAAGCCGCCGTGCGTCGGTTTCAATTAGCGCTTCCCCATGGTACTGCGTGTCCGCGAGGCAGCAGCTCCACCGCTCCATGCCCAAATTCAGCGTGGCGAGGAGAGCATGCGCGCTCGACCATCGACATAAGTGTATTGCAGACGAAATAAGGGAGCGGAGGAACGACCTGCATGCTTTCGCATTCACAACTCGTGAGAAGTGCTTAGGCGTATCTCGAGCCTTTTTTAGTATTAAGACTCGTTAACCAAAAGACGGAACGGAGCTCGCCAGCACCAGTGACAATGGCGCAGCCAAAATACTCGGTGCTGTGGCCACCTCATTGCCGTTATCATAATCAGAGTGCCAAAAATCCACAAGGTCAGACTACCAGCTCAACAAAAAAAAAGTGAAAGCCGTTTACAACTCCCTGTAACACCGAATTAGAGCGCAGCTCTTGAGGAGGAGGAGGGAAGGGTACTGGGGGGGGGGGGTCACGTGACCTTGGGGGTCACGTGACGATGCCGATGATGTCATCAGTGACGTCACTGATGACGTCATCAGTGACGATGACGATGCGGACTCCGATGACGTCATCAGCGATGATGACGATGCGGATGTTGGTGACGTCATCAGTGACGTCACTGATGACGTCGTTTGTGATGATGACGATGACGATGCCCCCCCGAAGTCACGTGACACCCCCAGGTCACGTGACCACCCCCAGGGTCACGTGACCCTGGGGAAGGGGTCACGTGACCTTGGGGGTCACGTGACCTTGGGGGGCCACATGACCTTGGGATGACCTTGGTTACGCCGACGCCGTTCAAGCCGGGAACGGGCCCCTAAGAGCTGCGCTCTAAAATAAGGCAACAACACCTATACCCACGAACCTCCGACGAGAAACCACACACATGTATCTCTTGAAGGATGTTGCAGGTCGGCGCTTACCTGCTACATTGGCCTTACACTGGATGTCCCCTGCTGCACTAGCCCAGCATCGACTAGACTTAACCTGTCCAGCCTGCAATGTTCCTGAGGGCTTGATCACTTGCTTTCAAGCTGCCCAACACTAACAGATAAAGAAAATCCCTCTTTTGATAGCTTACGGCTCGCAGCTGTTGCTTACGCTTTTAAGGAGGATATATTCTTTTCCTCCGAGTTCTGTTGGTGATGCAACCCAATCATTCGCCCTACTTCTAGCATTCCTACGTGACACAGGTTTACTGGGCTGTCTCTAAAAAGTTCTGTAAAAAGTTATTGAGTAGCAGTGACATAGGCAGGTAAGCTAGCAGAAACTACAGGCTTAATAGTTGACATGTGATGCATGCTATGGACCTTTCTTCTCTTTTTCTCCCACGTTTTGTTTTTGCCCCTCTTTACACATCTTTTCCTCTTTCAGTAGTTGCTTCTACTACAGTGACAAGGCACAGTGTATGTTAGACTTCTAAGTCATTTCGATCTGACCCAAATTTATTAATTAAATAGTTTGTTAGCCAGCTGTTTGGACAAAGATTAAAAGTATTTGCACCAACTGGACATAACAGCATGTTGCAGTTTTATGGTACATACCATAAAATCGTGGCTGATAAAGAATGATGAGCAAGAATAAAGTCAATAATTTATTTCTCTAGTGTAAGCAAGGTAGGTGTTCCTCATTAGCATGGCAACGGTGACTGGTCCAACTCCACCGGGAACGGGTGTGATGAAACTGGCCTTCCTCGACACCCCTAGGGAAACAGACTTCATCAAAATCACTCATTGTAAAACTTGGCACCTGGTAAATCACTGACCACATTTTCTTGATGCCTAGATACTATACATCAACGGATTCTTCACCTTTAAAGTATGAAGTGAACAGTGTTTATAGCAAGTGATGGAAGCTCTAGGGTAAGAGCATTCCCACAGAGACTGCCCTCAAAGGATTCCATCAGTGTTTTCTGCTTGTTTGATAACTGCATGCCTCAATATTTTGCAAACTGATGCAAATTGAATGTTGTGAATGTGCAACAGGGCGCATGAACCAAAAGGGCAAAATGCGACGACAAAAGGATTGGTCGATGCATTGCAATAGCACTCTTTCGTAATTGGCAGAAGTTAAGACTCATCGACAGTTGCCTTATAAGGACAAAAACAGCAGACTCAACACCAGTTCCCGTAATCCCCTATTAGTGGATACCGCTTGCCCTGGATTCCATTCATGATTCCTCATTAGCATGGCCACGGTGACTGGTCACCAGGGGGCATACATCCTGGGCACACGAGAATGCTGAAGGTCACAGGAAGGTATTTCTGGATTCAAATGCCACAAAGTATAGCTGGCTGGTGCTCAATATCTGTCAAGATCAACGCTTGTAAGGCACCAAACCCGAGGCAACGAGCACCACCAGTTCAGGAGGTGGCCACTTTTCTTTTTGAGCGTGTGGATGAAAACTTCACTGGCCAATTGCCGATGATGGAAAGGGGACATAAATATGTATTAGAGGCGACTTTTTACTCCACTCGGATTATTGAAGCATTTCCTGTGAAGACTCAGGAAAGCAAGGAGGTAGGTAACTCCTCTGTCGAAAAATTTATGGCAAATTTATGGCAACAAACGTTTAGCGATACTCTGAGTTTCCAGACGCCTACGTTTCGAGGCGCTCTTCATCGGATAGTTTAATGCATACAATGTGTACACTTGATAGTTGTTCCTAGAATGAAGCGATACTACAGCTAATCGGGTTGATAAAGCTGGCAACCTTCCAGAGCCTTCCATACTCTCGAGCTCCTCCAACTCAGTGCGCACAGGTGGTCGCGCTTTCCCTCGCCTACCCTTCTGGTCCCATAACCTCCCCGTTAACCAATCGGTGTCGAGCACTTCCCACCTCCTCTCCCACCCGTCAATCAATCGGTGTCGAGCCTGGGCTTCACGAAATGCCAAACACCTCGCCGAAGAATGTTTCACGTCAATAGCACCCTCAACAAACGACAATGTGTTGTGACATGCTGGAAAGACACTCGTTAATAATCTAAATGGTCTGGGTTCGATTCCCGCCGGGTGCAAACGCTGTTTTACTGCGATGGCCTCTTCCCCCAACTTGCAGCCAATCAGTGTCGAGCCTCGCGGCCACGGCTTTATCCTGGCTTCACTTTTGGGCTTCACAAAATGCCGAACGCTTAGCCAAAGAATGTTTCAAGTTAAAACTTTTTCAGTCACTAGGGGGTACCATTGGCACTACACTCCCACCCGCAAGGAGAGGACCTCCCCTTGCCGCCCGCAGTTGGATGGATTAGTGGAGTGCTTCAATCGCATGCTTATGAACAGCTTGAGTGTGTATGTGTATGAGGCACAGACTGGCTGAAACACAAAACTACCTCTTGTCATGATGCCTTGTTGCTCAAGCGCGCGTTACTCAACTGGCTAAAGTCCTGATTACGTCTTTATTGGAAGAGACAAGATGAACTCAGCTGATATGCGGTTGGATGTGCACAGCCACGCTAACATATCATCATCTAGTTGTAATGGCGTTGCATCACATCTAATCACAATCTTGCAACAAGCTCAAGGCTATGAAAGAGAAAATGACAAGATGCAAGAAACACAACTGGGACATCACTGCTAATGAAGGGAGCTATAAACCTGGTGACAGTTTTTCTGCATTGCCCTGCAGTACCACGAAGACTCTAATCAAAGTTGCACTTGCTGTGGTTGGGTCTCTATGATTTCCTCAAGGTTTCGTCAAATCACGTCTAACGCATCCAACAAGAAACGTGAAAAAGAAAATTAAATGTTGAGCACCACAACCGTCTAAAGAGACTAGCCGATGTGAAGAAGCTGACCATGCTGTCTATGGTTCAATACATTGTGAATATCGCCCTGGCTACTCTTCCTCCAGCATTCCCAGACTACCCAGATATAATCGACACAGAGGGCTAGTTTGCTTATTGAGGAGTATGTTGACAATTAGTTTCTTCGGCAATAAGTAGGTATGCCAACGAGTAGGTACGGTATGTCAACAACGAGTATGCCGATGCAGTTCTAAATCTGCCACCCGTCGAAGCGGCGCAGAACTCACTGCCGGTCGAAGCAGCTGAGAATCTGCCACTGATCGACAGGTTTGAGGGCCCGCCGTCAGTAAGCAATTTGAGCGAGGAAGTCGATCTCGACAACACAGATGAAGAACATGACAACGGCTGCCAGAGACACCGGAGAATGCCAGAAAACTACCAGACAAAGCACAACTTGCAGCCACTGTCCTTGTGTTCTCAGGACGACGTTACACCAAGAGAACCGCCTGACTTCGGACGCATCAAGCGGTAAAAAGATACAAACGCCGACCACGAGACTTTGAGGCGACCTGCGCACTACTCTGATCATACATTTAGCGGGTGATAGATCCAGTTTTAAGACAATAACATTCCTGGACGAAGGAATGGTGTGGCAGGGCATGCAGACCAAGAAGGGCGAAGCGCAACGGTTGAAAGAAGAAGTCTGAGTGCGCGTGCAGAAAAAGGCAAATGCAGCAATTGACTCTTTAAGCCTGACATGAATGTCTACTAATAAACACCATTGGCCCGTTGCAAATGTTTATCCAGCAAGAGGTCAGTCTACCTTTGAGAGTGACAAGTTGGTTCTCCGTTGTAGAGGTGCACTTTTGCTAGTAAGTACGACTCCAACTGATGTCTTCAACATGGACCACGTAGTAGCAATTACTTGACTGCATGCCGAAGTGCTGTCGTGGCCCCGCACTCTGTGTTGGAGTGCAACGACAACACTGAAGTGCAGGGTCACATGACCTCTTAAAACCAGTCAGTTCACCCACGGTTTATAGCCTTAGCTGTGACTGGGTACCCGGTAAAATAAAAAATGCTTCCCATATGTGTGCGAACAGTGTCTCTAGACTCAAGCACAGGTGGTTAGTATGTCTTTACCTTCAAAGTCGACATCTCCAACGAGCTTTGTCTTGCCGGTAACACTGTCGTGAACCCGCGTGATTCCGACATCGATGACACAGACTCCATGCTTCACCATATCGGCCGTGATTAGCCCGGGAACACCGGTTGCCGTGACGACGATGTCCGCCATACCAACGAGTGCTCTCAAGTCAGATGGAGATGTGTGGCTGTGGCAGCATGAAACGGTTGCATTTCCTGTAACACCAAGACAGAATAGCATGAAAGCTATCTGGCTGTAATTGAGGCATCTGCTGTAATAACTTTTTTTTATATATATATGTTCTTAAAATGCTGCCTGCTTTTTCAGGTTGCACAAAAAAAAATGAGGACACTAGTCTTTTTTCTTAGCAAATTGTTTATGGGAAAAAGAGATAGACTATATAAGGACATTAGTTCATCAGATACATTTTCTAAAAAGCTTTGTTATTCTTGTTTTCGAAAACAAGAACAAATGTCTACAGTAACAACACAGTAACTCTCGGAGCAACAAGAAATGAGTGGGATAAGTGATGCCTAATGCTCAGCTTTGAACGGTTTCTGGGGGTTGTGCTAGATCTCTTGACATGGGTCAGCAATGATATAGTGCGACATCAAACAAAATGAGTTTAAAGGGAAGATGGGGCACTTCTACATTTGAGAAAAAACGCATGAATTGCGTTCATTTGGCCTTTAGAATAACAGATATCAAAATTATATTTCAATGCGACGCGCCGGAGAGCCACAAGAGCAATTTCAAAATAGGGCTGAAGCCCTGCCCCCCTAGCCTTGGGCAGCCAAAAGAGCCGTCAATGACAACACGGACAGCAACTGTCTTTTGCGTTTTTCTCGCGTTTAACAATACTTACGCAGCAAATGGTTTGGGTATTCAGGTTCACGGGGTAAAAATACGCTAGAATTCACTTCTAGCTCATTTTCTCCAAGAAGCTCCGTAGCTTCCCTTTAAGATGGCATATAAGCAATTAATTGTGATCCAATATCCTTCAGGTTTATTTAAATGAAAAGAAAACCATATCTAAACTGTGGCAGAAAAAATTGGTGTTCAATTTTCTAAAGCTTTCTTTTTAGTGGACTTAAAGTAGATGTTGAAGATTAAAGCATTTACGGTATATGAAACTAACTTCATGAAAACCCGTTAGCTATTTCAAATAGCTCTGTGGCTCAGAAATTTGAAGACAACACTTAATTGATATGCATATAACCACTTAATGGCATCATTTCATTAATTCAGTGTTGAAAATGGCATTTGGCATTTTCTAGCAGGTCTTGTAGCAGGCAAAATGTGGGTTGGGAGCAGTACCTGATGCTTTTGAAGCAAGCGCAAACATACCTCAAAACACCGGGGAAGCGCCCACCCCACTTTCACTGAAAACTGGGTTAATGTAGACATGGGCACTTGTCCGGTCAAATTGGTAAAAACCAAAATGCCGGTCAATAAAGAAAAGAGCTTTAGAGGCAAGGTGAACAGAATCAGAAAAAGCACATTTATTTTTACATGATATCCCCATCTTTGCCAATGGCGATCTCGTGGCCGCCGCAACGGGGTGAATATTTTTGGCTGACGCTGGTGCTTTAGACTGGGTGGGATTAACGTATAATTTGCAGAATTCCTAAGTTCGAGAAAAATTAATAGTGGTATCTTAGGGCACATGTTAACACATTACTTGAAAATGAAATAGTAAAGCTCATGGAAAGCCCACCTTTGATGATGACTGAAGGGTCATTATCTGGAATTAATAGAGCAAAACGACAAAAAAGGATAGACAAGGGAGACAGGAAAGAGCGCTGAACTAACAACTGACGTTTAATGAAAAAGAGAATCCTGTCTCCCTTGTCTATCCTTCCTTGTCGTTTTGCAGTGTTAATTCCACATAATGATCAACCAACTAGCCCACCAGATGATTGTGAGACCAACCGCGACAAAAAAAGGTCTCGGAAGCGGCGTCCGAGGATGCAACTGACCACATAAAAAAGCAGACGACACGCAGACGAAATCCGCCGGCAGCAAGAGCGCCGGCAGCGTTGTTGTTATGCAACCGCGTTTTCTTTTATTTTTGTTACTTGAAGTTTTGCTATCTCTGTCTGCATTTATTTTCAAGCCAAAGGTAGATTACAAAAAAAAAGATTATGTTCGTGTCAATAAACCACGGTCGACACGGGCACTTTCGATATTTCTTTAAAAGCAAACCGAAACCACAGCTCTGACTGAAACAAGGAGGTAGCGCCATCTATCAATAAGAGCGTCAAACACACCCCGCACCTCGACTTGGTCGTCTGCGCCGCCGCCTGCCGTTGCCCCAGGCAAGTTTCTTGGCCTTATTTCTTAGAGAAAGAGAACTACGCTTTGTAATTTTACAAGAAAAAACAGACCTGTGAAATACACCTTTGACGAAAAGTTTAGATTGCTACGTGCAGGCGTCGATTTTTACAGTCCGTTTTAGACCGAGCCTGGTGACTTGAGCCACCCTATATATATATTTTTTTACTAAAATACTTTTTTTAAGAGAAGGCTAAGGTATTGATAAAAAATGGCTGAAATATCCACCCCCGGACAAATAAAAATATTTTCATGTGAATCAAGTGCAACGTTTAAGTTCAGATAATGCACCTGCCTCCTACGTCCCACATTTTAGCAAAAACATTCCTAAAACGTTGATTGATGAAAATGTGTTCACCTAGTTTCTATGATGACTGCAAGGACCACCACCCACAAAAAGTGTGGAAACTTACATATGTATGTTCCTTGAGACCACACTCCCACACTACTTTGCAGCATTAGGAGCATTAGAGCAAAGTTGGGTCAGAGTTCATGAGAACAAAGTTGATTATCACATTTATTATTACAATTATTTTTAGCTGTTGGTCAACCTACTGCTACACTGCATGTGCGCTTAATTTGCGAGACCATTAAGACAATGCAAATGCTCTACCGCATCGGTCTTTGCTCCTAGCACGCTGGTGTGCACAAAGAGATGAAGCTTGACCCACTAGCTCCAGTGCAAAGCACTCAAGCTTGACACGAGGTGCACGACATGTCTTTTCCACAAACATACCGTACTCAACACCCGCACCCATACTACTGGCTTAACTTTACTAGTCTGTCCACCTTTAGACGAAGCGCGAAACATTTCCATTGTAGGGTACAATCGTGCCCCACACTCCTTTATAAAGGCCATCTTTCCCCTTTTCTTTTTTCATCACTCAAACTCATCTTGGTGCAAGTGCAACGCGATTCTTTGCAAAAATGGCATTTTGGTGCAACATGTGGCAGACTTGCAATCGTGTTGCAGTTTGGCGTAAATGCCACAGGGCTTCCATCACCGTTAAGTGCCACGCCTTTTAAAAGTCTTCCGGAAAATCGAAAAAGTTGATGGCCACTGACAAGGTGAGAACCACAGGGAGGTCTTTCAGTTGTCCCTCCCCCGGCAAAAGGCTCCTTTCCTACCTTCGATGACACCTGGGTGTCTCGTCGGCCTTGAGCATGCACACGCGCAGCCAAAGCGCGGCGAAAGGCAACGAGCGTGTGCAGGAAGCATCCGAAAGTGATGCCTGACCATTCTCACCCTGTCAGCGACCATACACAGTCCCGCACACTGTGAATCTGTTTCTGTCAGCCCAAGTGTCTCTGAAACTCCCAGCAGTGATGGATCTGAAAGGAAGGGCAGCGAAGGCAGCTGCCACCTCCCGAACACATCCCCAGGTTGAGCTGGAGACGCTCCCATAAGTTGCTGGCAACACCATTCCCTTAAAGGGGAAGGTATATTCGACAATTCAAGAGGGAGCGTTCTGCTTTTGGAGGGGTGGATGGGAGTCTTAAGAACAAAAACGTAAAAGTCCAAATTTGAAAGAACAGATACAATGTGTGCAATATATAGGTAGGAGACGGAAACAATTGAGCATGTGATTCTAAAATGTAAGGAGCTTATTCCTGCCCTTTACGAAGGGGCAACAGACGTACCGGTGGCCCTTGGTTTCGCTGGAGAAGATGGAAAGGTGGATTATAAAAGAGCAGAGGCAACAAAGAGGAGATTGGAGTGCTGGTGGAAATTATCTAGGGAAAAATGAATGAAGTACAACTAACTAGCGCAGCTGGGGGGCAGGTAGGACAGAGGAAAATTGGGACTCCCTTTTGCGTGGCTCCGGCCCAAAGTCTCAACCCTGTCTGTCGTGTTTCCACTTCCGGTTTCTACTATCAGCGCCACTGATAAAAGGCGCAACGAGCTGCCATGCCCTGGAGAAGCTTTTCGTCAGTCGCATAATAAAGATCACTCCCGAAGGATGCAAACTAATCTTCTTCTGGACACCCACACGCACACAACTGGCGACAAGGATGGGATTCAAACCCGAAGGTTGTCAGAATCCAGTGTACGGGTCAAACACAGCAAATGTGTGTTTCGTTGCGACCGCCTCCAGCACCTCGGACACATCATCAGCGCAGATGGTGTGCAGCCGACAACCGAGAAGATTGAAGCCTTGCTCAAAGCTCCAGCTCCGACTAACGTCTTACAGTTATGTTCCTTGCTGGCACTGATTAACTACTATGGCAAGTTTGCACCGCATCTTGCAACACTGGCACATCCTTTCTACAGGCTGCTTTGACAGAATGTCAACTGGTCGTGGGACTCTGCGTGCCGGGAAGCTTTTGACAAGATCAAGTCGGCCCTGTCGATTTCCTCAGTCTTGGTCCACTACAACCTTAACACACTGCTGCAGCTGGCGTGTGACGCGTCGGCTTACGGCCTTGGCGCTGTTCTGTCACATGTGATGTCCGACGGAACGGTGAGACCAATTGCCAACGCGTCTCGTACCCTTACTCAGGCAGAAGAAAAGTACACCTGAATTGAGAAAGAAGCCCTGGCTCTGGTGTTAGGTGTGAAAAAGTTTGACTTCTACGTCTACGGCCGCAGCTTCACTTTTGTCACCGACCACCTGCCCCTGCAGCGCATTTTTGTTCCGAAAACTGGCATCCCTGCCATTGCTGCCGCCAGGCTACAGCTTTAGGCAGTCACACTTTTGTAGCGTTAGCTACACTGGCCGAGGTCGAGCAGTTTCGCGTGGCCCTCATAATGAGCGAAGCACGTGGCGGCGGCGGCAGAGCTCTGCATAATGAGCACGGCTCACATATTGAGCACAGCTCATTATGAGAGCCACGCGAAGCCGCCGCTGCACACTCCACCGCCGTCGCGCCCGCCTCGCTG